AAATAGATGAATTGGACGAGGATAGAATCTTCGGTGGGGAATACGCGATGCAAAATCAATTTCCATTTATGGCCGTGGTCCATCAATTGAAGGGCAACGGGAGGATCTCGCAGTGCGGTGGAACCATAATTTCATCGAGATGGGTATTAACAGCGGGCCACTGTGTAGCGTCAGGCCCTCACCAATTCCTCGTTGTTTTCGGTACCCGTGACAAAACCGGTATAGCGTATAATTTTTATCAAGGGCCCGGAGTGGCAATGTTAACGACCCAAGCCGTACTCCATCCCGAGTACAGAACAACCATGAACGATATCGCGTTGCTATACATGCCGCAAAATATCCCATTCGGAAGTAAGATGAGCGAAGAAAAAAAATAATTTCATCAAAAACCCATAATGATAATTTATCAAATCTTATTAAATTTTTTTTTTTTTTCTCGAACTTCTTTCAGACAACATTCGACCAATCCAATTCGTCGGTAACAGGTACAACACATACGCCGATAAAACGGGGATGGTGATTGGATGGGGCAAAGACGGCCCCACTGGAACCGGAACAAAGAGGCTGAAGTACGCCGCCGTACCGATTATCTCGAATTACGAATGCTCCATGTATTGGCCTGTCACGGAGGCACACGTGTGCACTTCGGCAGCGTACGATGAAGACGCGTGTCAGGTAAATCAGGGATCTCTTTTTCTTTATATTTTCGGAATTCTTTTGTTGGAAAATTAAAATTGCATTGATATCCTGTTTGATGTTATTGTATAGGGAGACAGCGGTGGTCCACTGATCGTGATGAAAAATAGGAAACCTTTTCAAATTGGAATCGTAAGCTACGGAGACGGAAACTGTCCTAGCAGCAAACCAGGAGTATTCACTAGGGTCTCAAGTTTCGTTGATTGGATCGAAGAAGTTACCAACATTCATTTGTAAAAGATAATTTATAATATTATCACGAATTATAAATTTTGTAACGTGTTTGTATAGGGAGGATTGGTTAATATTACGTATTTCGTGTATCTATTGTAATTATGTTATAATTAAATTGATTAATTGCAATAATATTTCGATTGTTCAATTATCTTTGAATTTAATTTCAGAAAATAAAAAGGATCATATATAGGATCAATTTCATTTATGCATTTGTGAATAAAAGTAAATACATAATTAAATTCCGTTGTTGTATTTCTATTTGCATATTTTTTATAAAAAGTCAACTCAATATTCATGAAATATTTTTTTCTAAATATATGTAGATATATAAAATAATTAAAAAACGATCTGTTGGCTAAGATTTTCCGATCTCCTCAATTATCAAAAATCTTTTGAATCAGATCGAAAGATTGATTGAAGATATAATAATTGAATTCAGCTTTTTTTTTTATTTTATCTATCATCACATTTATTAATTTATCGAATTTTTTTTACGATATTCTTATATAAATGCACTATTGCATGTACATACTAAAATTTAGGAATTTTCTCAAAAAATATTGCATATAAATAAGATTTTTGCAAAATGATAGAAACATCTTAATTTGGAAAATTCTTTATTAATATGAGATTAGCCTTTATTTTTGTTAAAGTAAAATTTCAACATTTTTAATTAATAATTTTAATGTAATTTTTCTAATGAAGCCAAAGCAGAATATCTGCTCTTAATTTTGTTCTCCAAAATAAACAATAAGATCATAATTCGATATTAAGATCTGACAATTGTGCTGATCGTGAAAGTCGATTCAAACTAAAATCATATACAGTTCCAATGTATCGATAAAAACATTATGTTAAAAAATTATTTTCAGAAAATAATCCAAAATATCCATAATTTTTAAACTGACAATAGAACCTGCAGAAAACGAAATAAATTTTACAGTCAAGAATCTAAACTAACGCATATTAAAAACCGTTTTTCCATTATCTTGTCCAACTTGTGTACCCATAAATTTTGCTCTTATATTCGTGAAATCAACATTACTCGATAAATTTTTCTAACTTCATACATATAATTAATAGATAGAATAAAATGAATCTCTAGAAAAACGATATCACATCTCAAGAAGAATTCTCGGATTGAAAGTTGATCCTGCCTATTATTATTTCACCGCCCATCCGTATACCCAGTCGTTTCCCCGCTCGACCAACAGATTGCGGGCTTAATCGGCCGTGAAAAGAGCAAATCGTTTCGCGCGATTATCCGCCGCATTGTCTCTGTCCGATCCTCCCCCCCCTCGATCCCCCCTCCCCCCTTTTAGTCCGTTCCT